ATTTAAGTGTGAAACCTTGTTTAGTGTGAAAAAGTGCAAAAAAATTTACTTGGTAAACAGTTACTTACAAGTAATTTTAACTCCTATGCTCGAGAGAAAAAAAAATACTAGTGAACTACAAGAATTACATTTTTAGAGTCCCTTTGGGTCCCAGATTTGTCCGCATCACTTCCTGAAGTCCACGAGCACCACTTATATTAAGTTCAAGAGCAGCTGCATTCCGGGCTAATTCAGCCTTAGGATTCAAGCACTGAATAGATGCCATTTCTGAAAATATAAAGCTGTTTTATCTCAAGGGAACAAGTTACATCAAAAGAAAAACAGTCAGGCAAAAGCCTTCGCTAATTTACATTAAAAGGTGAAACACGACTCACGTTAAAACTGCTTTCGATTTCAGCTTCACTTGCAAACAATAACGCAATAAAGAAAAAATTAATTCGTATAAAGCAATACAACTATCAGCAACGTGAGTGACTCCTACTTTGACCTCAGAAATTTGCAAACTTCAAAAATCAAAAAAGCAAAAAAAACGCGCCGAAAGGACAATATTAATAAATAAATTACAACGATAAAATAATAATAAAAAAAGCATAGAGAGCATTTCCCAAATTTCTGAAACATTCACTACGAAATGATCCACTCAAAAATACCTCACAGAAACCACAGGAAACCATCGTTAGCAATGAAAACAAAGGAAAGAAAATAAGTTTTCTTCTGCTTTTAACACCTACCACGGTAAAAGAAAAAATGTAACTCATAAGGTGGGCAAATAGAAGCCGTAGCCCAAATTCCAGGTAAAAGAAAAAAAAGGAATCCCAAAGCCTCAATCGCTACACTAAACACTTATCGACTTTTGAGTTGCAACAGAGAATAAGTCAGTCCCCATTCGTGCAGCGCCTGGAAGCAATGACCAGACGAACTTTGTCTTTGTTCAATACAGCAACTCGCTATACTGTTCAGCCGTCCCGCGCTGCTCTGCAGGCAGTCAAATATCAAATATTTACGAGGACTAGTCAAAAACTCTCTGCCTCAGTGACTGCACTATCATTATTGCTTTAAAAAATGAACTCAAAAATATTGGACATTTTATAGGTAGTATTCCTGCTGGGTTGATCCAAATCCCACGGTTTACTACCATGCAGATATCATAATAAGAAGTCCTGTTCCTTCCCGTTTATTGCTCGATAATTTGGTGTGCTTGCTGCATGTGATGCAGAACTTAGTAGTATCCCGTTAATTTTATCTGTTCCTCGACTTGTATACGCTGTTTAATGCTCACCAACACGAATCCAAGTGTGCATCCCACTGGTGGTTCGTCAGTACTTATGGTTTTACCCTCAATGTTTGTAATAACTGAGAGTAGGAACTTCATGAAGACAATCAACCAAAATGCAAATCACTCTTTGTTTCCCAAACTTTTAAACTGAAAGGCACTCCTTTAATGCCTGTGTTTGAATCCCTATTGAACTGGAAAGTATGCGAGTATGAAACTAGTAGGCAAGGATGTAACTTTCTTCAGTATGCAAATACTAAATGATACAAGACAGGAAAAATTGCTTTATTCAAATCATGAAAAAAACACCTGGCATTTGAAATCACCCCATTTTTTTCTCTTTCTATTTCCTTCTACCTCTATCTAAACTGTCCATTTTCATGAGTTTGAAACAAGTAGCTTAAACTTCTCTAAAAGTTGGGATTTATCTGCTGACTGTAATGGTTATGATTTAGGAAGCAGTGGTCTGTTTTTTAACTTTTCTTTCGAGTACAGGAGCTGCTGCATTTCATCTACAGTCACAGCTTAATACTACATTTTTAGAACAGAAAAGAGGCAAATTTGGAATTGTTTCAGATGAATAGGGTGAGGTAAAGGACTCTATAGGTAAATAATGAAGTTAGGTTACAGACAAAAAAAAAAGTTAAACATGCAGGTAAGCACGTTTAGCTGCAACAGTGCCCGACTAGATTTAAACGTTATGTAACACAAAAAGCATCACTAATACAACTGTGATGGTACCACCCACGATACTTGCGGCTGTTGACAGCTTCGGCATTGTGGGATTGCGAGACGACCGCCTTCAAAGCTCAGACTAGACAAAACAAGTGAATTTTTTCCAACTAGCAAATAATTTAAGCAAGATAGAAGACCTAATGAAAAGGTTATTGATGAATTAACGTACAAGTTATTATGAGGTGTCAAAGAAACTACTGAAGCATGGATGACAAGTCGAGTTCAGTATGGCAGATATTCTCTTGCAAGAGGTATTTGAGGGTTTGTTGGAGTCACTGGCTTTTCAGTGCGTTACAATTTGCCTTGGCCCTCTCGATCAATGCCTCCTGAGCAGCCGCAATCTCTGCACCATGCCACCTCTTCAGCGTCGTCGTCTGTAATGCTCTTCCAAAGCTAAAAAAGGTTTATTTGTTATATTCATATCAAGAGCTTTTCTTTTTTAAGGTTATTAACTAATAAAAAAAAAATGAGGCTATACATTTTTAAATAAGTTTTAAGGCTGCCAGATAATAATAATGGTATATATATCGGACACCTGAATGTAATTTTCCAAGGCTTTGTCAAATTCACGTTAACTATCGCTTTCAAGTTCGTCGTAGCTTCATCTTCCGTTTGCCCTCCAGAGAGAAAAGCAATTCCCGGAATTGCTGGAGGGACAGTCCGTCGCAGAGCAGTAACTGTTGCATAGGCTACTTCTGAGCTGTTAGCCTACAAGTTCTTTGAAATTAGTAAAAACCGTTCCTTTTCTGTTAAACTACTTTGTGAATGTTGCAGAAGTGTTTCACTGCCTTAAAGAGCAGGAAACAGACGGAAATTAATTTATTTAATTGTATAGACCACTGTAGGAGACGATAGACCCGGAACGACCATATTTGGTTTTAGAATGGTTCCTTCGAGATAAACTTCCTTTTCGTTCAGAGCTTTAAAAACATAAGCGAGGACCTTTTCAGTAATCAACTGGGTTTGTGCGATATCATGAGAACCAATTGCGAGCACCTGGAGTCAGCATAACAACACTATAAAACAAGTTTCTGTTTTTCAAAAGCAGCTAACTCGACTGAAATAAACGCTGAAACTCTAGGCGACGATATTTTGTGATTTAAATTTTGCCTTAATTAGCAAATGTTTTGGTATCGGCAACCTGTCAGTGTATTACGTGAAAGGATTCGCCGAACGCTAACCTAAAAGGTAAATCAAAAAAAAAATTTTTTTGCAGCTGCTTATTTAAAGGAGAGTGTAAAAAGAATTTAAAATGAGATCTAAAATATCCATGTTAAATCAGATATAATTTTTATTATCAATATGAGAAAATTTGGAGGACGAGTGTTCAAATAAGCGATATCACCTCAGACTCAACAATAGGGACTAATCCATGCTCCTGGCACTTCCTAGCATAAGTTGCCAAAATTTCCGCGTTTTTACGAATGGCTGATTCTGAAGGAGTCCCCGGTGAGATGTGGAAGACCGACCGCCACTTTGCAAATGTACAACCGCCTTTACGAAATTCAGCAATTCGAGTGTCCAGATCTTCTAAGCCTGAAAAAAATATTATGAAGTCATCTAATGTTAAGACTTTCTCGTATGCTGTAGTTTGGATAAAGGAAGTTAGCAGTCACCAGTAATGAGTGTTTTAGCTTGAGATGCACAAAGACGCTAAACTTCTTTGTGAGCATTTTAGACTTTTTAATCTTACAAATACTAAAATTATTTCACTTCCTGAGCTGCAAATGGGAAGTTTTACCTTGTGATATCTGTTCGTTTAATGTACCAAAAGCGGTAAGCCCACGATCTAGTTTAATACCGACCTTAATACCCTTGTCCTTCAAAATATCAACAAAGCGAACCTTACTGTTAGTTTTCTGAAAGCTAAAATGCCAGTTAACTGAGGCAAAACACCTGAATATCTGTTCCAGCAATACTGACAAAATGGTGACAGTTTTATGATTAATTAAGAAATAGTAATAAAAATACTGTTTAAATATTACTTGGTAAAAAGTTTCTTCAAACATAATTACGCCAGATATGTATTTCTCCAAGTCTACTGTAGTAAATAACAATTCCCTATATCGTTGTCTATTCGTTTCTGTGTTGTCCAAATTTATTTGAACAAATCTTTTGCCAATCGTACCTAAGTTCACTTATTGTGAGTTACAGACATAGGCAACTAGACGCAGAACTGAACCTTCCAAGACCTTAGTCACGGACTTCCTGCGTACCTGTGCTTTCGTCGGCTGCAAGAATACCTTTCCACTCTTTTAGAAGTGACTCTGCTTCATTTTTTAAGTGATTTTGTTCTTCTTTTGTCATAATCCTCAGTGGCTTCCAAGCTGTGCTGTTCGAATAATTTGAAGAGAAGAGCCACCTGCTGCATCCAACAAGCAGGCTGGCAGCAACACCCCACCACAGCACGTCACGGAAATGCATTTGAGCAACCAGACGCCTAAATCCCGCTAGATTACTGTCGGCACAATGCAAAAAAAATTCGTTACGCACCCAATCCACCGTTCAAGAGAGAACTCTTCACTCCCTCATCTACTCTTACTACCTAAGATCCTTGTACCAGGCTAGTCACTATCACGAAGACAAATCGCTCCCCAGAATCACTTTTGAGACCAATTCACCACGCAACGAAACTTCACAAGGATCTGTTACTCTAACAATGCCTTTAATTGTCCAGGTACCAACGTCAACGAAATTATCTCAATAACTTCACTTCTCAACACAAGGAAAGAAAAAGTAGAGCAAAAATACATTGTGAATGAGTATTTATTTCCAATAAAATCCTTATACTATCTGTGCTTTACTCACTTGTAAAGAGAAGAAATAAGGCAATACAAGGAACTGATCGAAGTCTAAAAACAATGACTTGCAAAAAATACAGCCATTACAAATCATATTAAAACAAACGGTACTTCTTGTGGTTTTAAAAAAACTAGAACAAATTAAAACCAGAGAACGATGAAACTCACCGCAAGACAGGATACACGTGAAAAAACCACGTTTCGATAAATCAGTCAACATAAACTTCACATACTATTAAAAAACAGCGTGATAAGAAGTGTAAAAGAATTGTTCCATAAATGCAGTACAACATATGAATAAATAAATTTGATACATATATAATTTGATTTTCAAAGACCTATACAATAAACAGGTAAAACTCGGAAAAATTAACTAACACAGAAGCTCAGACTAGAATTTTTACTTCTTTTCGAGAACTCTTCTTATTGAATTTTTTCACTTTTTATCTTCATTAAATTCAGTGGAAATTACACTGCTGAAAAACAAAAATAAAAAAAAAAAACAAGGAAGAAAATATACACAGAAGAAAAAATATGACGTCCCGCATGCACCATGAGAAGAAGGGTAAAAAAAGCACTAAACGAAGCTGTAAAAATGCAGAAAACTATGAAAAAAACCCAAATTTTATGCAAGGTATTCATACAAATCTTTTTCATTGTCTACCCTTTGTAAATACTCCTTTTCAATAAGCATATCAACACATTTTTTAACCATCGGAACCTTCGGCCGAAAACGTGATGAAAGTTGCTTTAAAACCTAAATAAATTAAAAAGTTCATATAATCACAAACAAGCAAACAATAAACAAGTAATATACGATGACAAACAATCTAATAGAAATAGCTTCAAAAAAAAAAACATACTTCCGAAATAAGCTGGGCGTGTTTGTATCTCTTCCTTGTTTTCATGATCCTCACAATTGCTGCCTAAAATTGAAAAACACTCTGAAGTAAAACACCCTCATAAAATTAAAAAAACGGCGCTAAAAAAATTTTTGTGAAAATACCTGGATAACCATCCTTCTATCGTCTTCCACAGATTTCTGCACTTCTGCTGATTCCTGCTTCACCTCTGTCCTAACCAAGCCTTTCGAAAGGTCAACTTTTAATTTTTTACTAAATGTTACAGTAAAGTACTCAAGTAGAATTTGCTATGCCAAAGGTACTACCACAAATAGAATACGGAACAGTAATCAATCAAAAGAAGCTTTGAAGTAACATATATGTAACAAATAATCAACCTCGAAAAGTTTCTATTCAGTGACAAAACGGTTGAAACAGGAGAACTGGCGTTAAACTCCGTTTTATCGTCGCAAACTTTTAAAAGATCTGCCTAAAAATTTTTATGCATTAGAAGACTTAAAAAGATAGAAAAGTGAAAACAAATGAAGGCTATAATAGGCTTCAAAACACTGAAAAACATTTTATTAATCAACGTTTACCTTCACAAAGCCAATTAGAATAGGAAAGAGTAGTTCTTCTTTCAGCTTCGTATTTTCTATTATATACTCGACTGTGATCTCCGTGCTATTATTGTACAACAATAAAACCGAAATTTGAGCGGTATTGGCCTAAAAATATTTAAGAAATAGTCAAAAAATAGATAAGTGAAAATTAGTGAATTTTTACCATGAAGGTGTACTTCCTCGGAAAACAGCTCGTAATAATTTCACCTCGGCTCTGATTCAACAGGAAGACGAGTTTTCTTCCCGTGTGCTGAGTGACATAGAACCTTTAAACAAGGAGAATAAAGAAGGCAAAAGAAAAGTGGATTATAAAAAGAATAAACAAAGAAAAAAATTATTCAGGAACTACAAACGGCCTTCTAAATCCTTACTCTTTGAACTGGTCAATACAGTTGCCCAGTTCTCTCGGAATATCAAATGTAACTGAAGTAGTAAAAGGCCAAGCACAAGACCCCAACACCATTACTGAAAAGTCTAAGCCCAAATCAATTTTCCTCGAAATTATATGCTGTCTATATCGTTCTGAAATTTCCTGAAAAAGAAATTATGTTATACCTCTTCAAAACCAATGAAAAGCTTATAAGAATATCGAGGTTAAAACTCGAGATGTTGATTCTTTCTGGCAATGTTCTCAACAATTGCTGAGAAGTAAGAATCCCTAAAAAATCTTCTACACCTTTTTTCGAGGGAGAAGTGGTGAAATAAATTATGCAAGAGCTTCCGACCAACATAAAGCGTCAGCGTTACATTCATTATTTATATGAGCGACGAGTTTCATTAAATTTTGATAAAGTTTGAAAATTTTAGTAGAAAAAATCAATTTATAATTTCAAGCTCAAAACCAAAGAAAGCTATAAAGGAAGAATGAAATTAAACATATGAAGTACAGAAAAACTAAATCAGCAACTAGCTTTACTTATACTGATGAAAGCAACCTTGCTAAGACTGGTATCTGTAAACATTCGCTGCAACTTGCTGGTATATTCAAATCCACACATGTGTTTCAACTTTGATATCATGTTACTCTCTGCCTCGTCACTCGCACTCAGCTCGCCTACAAGACGTTTCGCCAACATCTTGGTATAAAATTTTTGAAAAACGTCCTTATCATCAATGTATTTGAACACAACAATCTAAAAATTATTATTTCGGAAGTGTTTTAATGCTTCGAAAGGAGAAAAACCAAAATAAGTGGCTCTAGAATTTCGGCATAGGAAGAATCAACAAAAACTTACAACTTGCGAAAGAAGATCCTCCATTTCTGCTTCTTCAGGATTCCTCGCGCTTTTCTTCAACAATAAGTCAACGTACCGAGCCAAGAGCTCAGGACTTTTCGCAGCATTCTAAAAAACGAACTACTAACCAAAGTGATATTTAATTTAAGAACATACTTAAAATTAGACGAAGTCGATGAAAAAACGTGAAACAGAAGAGCACGAAAAATGAAACAATTTTTTGATAATGCTTTTGTCTAAGAAACCTTTGCTTTAGCTGTAATACTATTGTTATTGATGAAAGTTGAGCACGCTTTATCCAATGCCTGTACAAAACCGCTTTGGTTCTTGAAAGAATTCGCAACGAGATGGCAGTAACGCTTGTGAACATTTAAAATCGTTGTCACGTACAGTTTTGGGTCCTAATAAGAAACGAAAGAGTCAGAAAAGTACCAGAAAAATAAGTTATACAGGAACAGTAAAAATAATGCAAACAACTACATCAAAATAAATTCGAACAAGAACAAGACAAAGTAGAAATTCCCTTACATTAACAGCGACATCTGCGATCCTCTCCAAAGCTTCCTCGCCCTGTCTAGCAATATGTTTCTGAAGAGCTACTTTTAATTCACTAAGACCATTCTCCACTCTGTTACATAACGTGTGCATCCTTTCTAGATCCTCGTCCTGACAATTAACAAATTACTGAATAGTAATGAAAATAAATTAAAACTACAGAAGAAAACAATATAAGAAAAAAACTTCGACACTTATCCCAACAAGCTTACTCACTTTATTGGCCTCTAAGAGATTGCCGAACTCGTTCTGAAAGAGCTCTAACCGTTTACTGATGAGGACCCTCTCCAAGGTCTTCACCAACTGGTCCTGAGTTGATTCATTCAAATACTTTTCGCATCTCTCTTTCTCTTCTACTAACCTACCTTCAACCTGAAAAAAAAAAACCACAACAGTTCTGTAAAACTAAACACTGATGAAATCAAGAACAACTGCGCAGAAATATAATTATTACCGCACCTTTCTCATATACTCAGTGACAGGATTAGCCGCAATAAAATCTTCAGCTTCGCGAAGAAAATAAGCTTCTGTGTCTTCTAGAAATCTTTTTTCGAAATATTCTTTATAAACCCGTAATTTTGGATTCCTGTCCGACGTACCCGAAATTCCTGCATTCGGTGCAATTGTGTTGCCTTCTGTCTCTTGGATACCTAATTCAACTGCAACAGAAAATTTAAACACCATATAGTAAACCAAAACAGTAACCATCAATTCTGTAATAAGCAAAAAAATTTTGCAAAAAGCAGCAGAAAGTATATAAATTACAGGAAAATAAAATGAAAATCAAATAAACGGAAACTAAAGAGCGAAAGTCAAACCATAACACTGAACTACTCCGCTAATAAGCATCGTATTTATTTTTTCCCCGTTCCTTTCTCGTTCTATAAGTTTCAGGACTGCATTTGTAACACTTTCATGCATATATTTGAAAAGATACTCCCTCCACGTTACCACTGCTAGCTAAAAACAAAATGCTAAAAATAAGAAAAGAAACAAGGTGCCAGTAGTTTTACCGAGAGTTAATGAGCAAGTAAGTGAAAAAGAAATTCCAGGAAATGATGCCAATCAAATTAAACACCTTTACCAAGAAGAAAAACCTAAAATTCTAAAGGTTTTTTCATAATAACAATGTCTAAAAACGTTTAATATTCCTTCTAAACAGACACCTCCCTTAAAGAAAGTAGGGCTCGATAATTAACTAAGCAAATTTATTAAAGAAACTTAGTTAAATACGTGCTATAAAACTAATATAGGTCTGCCTTCCTATAATTACTTATAACACTCTTCTTCCTTTATAACTTATGGAAAACAAAAGGGCTATAAACAGAGTAACACTAAAGAATAAAGTAAATCATACGAACTCACAGCGTAAATCTCATAGATGCTCCCATTGCCTTCATCCCTCTCTCGTCTTATCCAGTGTCTGTTCAAGTAATTACAGATATTGCCAGCAACTCTTGAACTGAATTGAAATACATCCCACTCACCAGTGTAAAATTTTAAAACATCTTCGCCATTCCTCTCTTTTCCTCTCTAAATTAAATGCTTTCATTGAAACCAGATCTGATACCGTAAGTGCTTCACCATATATATAT